CCAAAGCCACAAAACCCTGTTTCTCCTCACAAAATCCAGTCCGCTCTGCCTTCTCTCCACTGGAGCCCCAAAGTGAGTGGCTACGAATGAGATTTTCTGTTTTGGCCCTTTAGGAGGGCACTTGTGTCTCTAGCAGATTCACGTCTCTCCCTGACAGATGGAATTCCCACTGATTTTCACAGCCAGATATTATGTGAGCATCTCTTCCCAGCTCGGGTGCTCTGGGCTAGGGTACCCAGTGTGGAACTGAGAACCTTTGCTCCACAGGGGGAACTTCTGTACCAAGCCATTGCCTGTAGAAGCAGGACCAGACTTTTTTTCTGCATTTCTGCCCTTCCTACCAATCTGGATGTGGCTGCTTCTAGTAATCCGTGGTTATTAGACTTCCATGCAGCTAGTCTTCAGTTTGTTATTCAGGTTAATTGTTCTACATTTCAGTTGTAATTCTAGTTTTGTCCCGGGAGGAGGTGAGTGTAATATCTCCCTAGTCTATTGCCTTCTTGAATTTCTCCCCAAAATAGAGCTTTTAATTTAACATAATTAGGCAAAGAAAATATCAATTCCTTTCTTGAAATATTTACAAATTCTTCTTTAAATTTTAAATCCTTGTTACATTACATATGAAGAAAATGAAAGCATTAGAACCAAATTATATCACTGCCAAATGAAGAAATATATGGAAGAAAGGAAGAAAAAGAGAAGAAGAAAGTCTCGTTTACCCTCCTATGTTCCAAGTGTCACCAAGTTTTCTAGGTTTGGGAGTTGTTCTTTAATTTAATTTTCATATATTATCTTATTAAATTTTTTAGAGAGAAAGGAAGGAAGAGATAGAGAAATACCAATGTGAGAAACATCAATTGGCTGCCTCCTGCAGGCCCCCTACTGGGGATTGAGCCTGACACCTGACCGAGAATCGAACTGGGACCTCTTAGTCCATAGGATGACGCTCATCCACTGAGCCACATTGGCTGGGCATTGTTATTAAATTTTAACAAAATAAAATATTTTAAAATTTTCATTTTGTTGTTACCTAAATTTATGGAAATTATGTAGATTTATTTTTATTAAAATTTGATCATAGTTGTATGATTGGTTAATTTAGTTAATTCTTTGAAGTTTTGCTTTTTGTGGTTTGCATAAAATAAAAGGTTTTATTTATCCATCTTTGGACAAATTTCTGTGATTACTCCAACTTTTAGATCATGGTTCAATTTGGTCACTGTCCTTCACTATAACAAAAGAAGACAAATAACTCAATTTGAAACTGATAAATATTAGCAAAGTTTTCTTGTGGTTTTATATGAAGATGAAATACAGCATCAGACTAGAAAGAATCATGGGAAACCATTAGCCTCTCAGAAAGACTTCAGAAAGTAGTATGCTTTCGTTTGTCATAGCTTACAGGAGGTTACACTAGAACAAAAGCCATGCCATACTATTTCATCAGCATCCTTATACTGGCAAGTTATAAACGTTAATAAATTCAAAAATCTGTGTCCTACTGATGTACACAGAATTTCCTGCTGTCTACTTTGTTGTCTTAGTGGTTTGTTTTTTTTTAACAAACTGTCTTATTTGAACCTAAAAAAATATTTGTTTAATGATCGTGTGCAAATGCTTTCTGAAGCATGCTGTCATTGAAAAATGTGTGCACATCTTGTAAAAGGGCTTTTCTTGTCTTCAGAGCACAAATTACAAACACACCTCCTCTTTTAAACCATAAATCACAATTGGCAAAGTCTAGAAAATATTATAATCACAAAGGCTCAAGATGAATCAACCCACAACCTTCTAATACAAAATATATGCATTTTATACAAAATGCTTAATAAATTAGTTGTTCTATATCCCAGATGGCTGTACAATTTCTGGCTTATAACAAGGTAGTGGCTTTTTAATTGGCCTTTGAGGGAAACTGAAATTTTCACTACATGGGTTGGCCTTCTTAGTGGCATCTGTGACTTTGCATGGCTCAAAATCTCAAGATAATTTTTGGTTAGAGCAGGATAATTATTCCTTTCTGTGAAAAAGTGAAACTGTGATTTCTCTGATTGAACTACAGTTAGACTGACAATGGCTCTATTTTTTCAAGATTCATAGAGTTTTCCTTCATTATGTATCTGGCAGTGGAATGTGACTAACTCTAAAAATACACAAATAACTTATACATACCCAAACTAATGTCAAATCAAAATGTAACAGATTTCCAATCTCAGCTAAGACATGTAAAGAGCTTAGAATTATCACTCTTACCCCTACAGGAGGAAGGAAAAAACTGAAGATCAACACCTTTTCCTGTATTCATCAGAAAACCAAGGGTGAAGGACAAGCCATCACTCTGAAGTCCAGAAACATGATCCCATCTAAAGAGATACAGTAAACCACAATCAGTTCACCTGGAATGGAAGCTGCTGGAGCCCCGAACTGGTAGGAATACTAATATGGTAAGTGTGAGGAATTGCATGAGACTGAGTGTAACCTACAGTGAGAGTAAGAAATTCCTGATCAAAGTGGGGTCCCCATATGTAAACTTTGCCTAAAGAAACGCCAACAGGTCCACATGGTGAAGATCTGATAAAGATGCCCTCAGAGCCCTGGGAGGAGAAAGGGGAGAGTGATTATTACAAAATACACCCAATGTCTTTGCCATCACATGGGCCTATGCTCCAAAAGATAAGACTACCAGGACCTTCTCCCAGCTGGAGGAAGGGCATTCCTCTCAAACAAGCCACCTAAAGTCTTTGGGTCTCACCTGGAGGAGGGGGGTCGGTGTTGGGGAGGAAAATTGGTCAATAGGGTTTAGGGGCTCAAGGATATAGGCTGAAATCCTGTCACCAGGAAAAGGAGTAGAGCACCAGGGGACAGAAATCTAGACTGCTAGAACAACATCTGGGATGCTCTCCGCCTTGAAACACAGGCCCACCTAAAAATTGTGGGTTTATTCAAAAGATTATAGACTACCTCCCTCCTTCACATTTGATCAACATACCAACAAAACCCAACGTAGTAACAGTGGCTTATAGCAAAAAGAGCTGAAAGACACAGACTTTCCACCAGAAGAATGACATACGAAAGCCCAACACAAGAAAGGAACACACAACCAAGCATCCTTAGAGCATTTTGAAGCCAATGGCACCTGTAACTGTTTAATTAAAACATTAAACAAAACAGAATAAACTCCTAGCCAGTCTAATATAAACCCTCACAATAAAGGTCTACTTACCTCCATTTCTATTATCTGATTCATTGTGTCCTTTTGTTTCAACAAAAACAAATGCGAGGCATGCCAAAAGGTAAAACACAGTCAGAAGAACCAAAAGGTAAAACGCAGTCAGAAGAGACAACACAGTCATCAGAAACAGATTCAGTTGGAATAATCAAACAAAGAATTTATTTATTAAAATATTTTTTTCTTTATTGATTTTAGAGAGAAGGAGAGAGAGAGATAGAAACATCGATGAGAAAGAACATTGACTGGCTGCCTCCTGCATGCCCCCCACTGGGGATTGGGCCCAAACCTGGGCATGTGCCCTAAACGGTAATCGAACCAGTGACCTCTTGGTGTATGGGTCGATGCTTAACCACTGAGCCACATCAGCCAGGTTCAAAGAATTTAAAGTAGTTGTGATTAATATGCTAATGACTCTAACAGGAAAAGTAGACAACATGAAAGGATCGATGAGTAATATAACCAAGGAAACAGAAACTCTAAGAAAAAAGAAAAAAAGAAAATTCTGGGTATCAAACAACAGTGAAGAGAAATGAAAAATGCCTTTGATGGGCTTATCAGTAAACTCCACAGGATCAAGGAAAAAATTACAGTGGCTTTCTCCTTAGAAACTATGTAAGTAAGAAGACAGTGTAGTCAAATATTTGAAGAATTGACAGAAAAAATATACTAATTTAGAATGCTATATGCAGAAAAATTATCTTTCAATAATAAAGGAGATATAAAGCCTCATTAGATAAACAGAAACTGAAGGAATTAATCTTTAGCAGACATTCTATGAAAAAAATAATGTTAAAAGAAGTCTTTCAGGCTGACAATTATGATATATCAGAAACTTTGATCTACATAAAGAAGGAAAAGCATCAGGAAGAGAATAAATAAAAGTAATATAAAATATTTTATCTTATTACTAGATATAAAGCATAATTCTAGTTTAAATTTAATAGCAATGATGAATCAGATAGTTTTAGCAAATATAAGTGAAATGAACAACAGCAATATCACAAAGAACAGTTGGGAGAAACTGTGTATACTCTGTTATAAGCTATCCACCCTGCGTATGAAATGGTCTAGTGTAATTTAAATCATCAATTTAAATATGTTAAAAATGTATATTTCAAACTCTAGGACAACCACTACAATGTTTTAGTAGTATAATTGATATGCTATGAAAGGAGATAAAATGGAATCATAAAATGCTCAATTCAAACCAGAGAAGGCAAAAAATGGAGGTGGGGAGAATAAATGCAACTTATAAAAAAAATAGTTACCAACATGGTAGATAGGAATTCAACAATTTCAGTAATTATTTTACAACTGAATTATAATTAATACACTAATTAAAATACAACTAAGAATTAGATGGTCAGAATGGATTTTCTTTCAAGGACTCGGTTGTAGGTTGTATACCAGAAGCCTACTAAAAATAAAGACATAAGGAGTTGAATTTAAAGACATAAAAAATATAGCATACTTACACTGATAAAATAAGAACTGAAGTAGCTACATTTGTTACAGACAAATCAGACTTTAAAGCAAGAAAAATCATTAAGGCTAGAGAGGCATTAAAATATTATAAAGGGATCGATTCTCCAAGGAGACATAAATATGCTAAATATGCATATACCCAATTACAGAATATCAAAATATATTAAGTCAAACTTATAGAACTGAAGAGAAACTGAAAAACCCACTGATATGTGTAGAGACTTCAAAACCCCTCTGACAGTATTGATAGGTCAAGCAGGAAGAAAAAGAGTAACAATGAATAAGACCTGGGCAGCACAATTAACTTGATCTGATTGAAACATAGAAAATATTTCATTTTATTTATTTTATTTTTCTTAGCAATAATTGTGCCTCGGATAAACCTCATTGGCTACAATACTGCCACTGTGCAAAGCTGAGAATATTTCATTTTAAAATAATAGCAGAACAAAAATTTTTTCAAACTCCCATGGAAAATTCAGCAAAATAGACTACTTTCTAGGTTACATTAAAACAAACAAACAAAAAAAGAACTTAAATGTATAGAAATCATAGAGTAAGTTCTCAGGTTAAACTAGAAATCAATAGACAGAAATTCCAGAACATTTGAAAATTGAACAATACAGTAATAAATAAGCCAAGTGTCAAAAAAGATGACTCAACAGAAATTTAAAAATATTTTGAACTAATTGAAAATGACAACACAATTTACAACATAAAATTGTGAAAGGTAGCATAAACAATACTTAGAGGGAAATTTATAGCATAGTAATACATTTATATATTAGAAAATTGAAAGATATGAAATTAATAACCTAAACTTATACTTCAGGATACTAGGGGGGGAAAAAGAGCAACTTAAGCAGAAGTAGAAGAAAATAAATAATAAAACTTGGAGAAGAAATCAATAAAACTGAGAAAAGATAATTTAAAAAAATCAACTATATCTAAAGCTCATTCTTTGAAAGATAAATAGTTGGAAAAAACCTCTAGATGGGTTAACTAATAAAGAAAATACATAAATTACTAATATCAAAAATAAAAGAGATGCCATAATACTGATATAATGAACATTCAAATGTTAAAAGGATACTATAGCCAGGCCATGTGGCTCAATGGTTGAGCATCGACCCATGCACCAAGAGGTTGCTGGTTCGATTCCCATTCAGGGCACATGCCCAGGTTGTGGGCCTGATCCCCAGTGGGGGGTATGCAGGAGGCAGCCAGTCGATGTTCTCTCTCATCAGTGTTTCTATATCTCTCACCCTCTCCTTTCCTCTCTCTCTCAAATCAATAAAGAACAAATATTTTTAAAAAAAATATAAAAGAGCCCTGGCCAGTTTGGCTCAGCGGTTAGAGCATCGGCCTGCGGTCCGGAGAGACCCGGGTTCGGTTCCCGCTAAGGGCACGTACTTCGGTTGCAGTTTGTCCCCGGCCCTGGTTGGTCATGCGGGTGGCAGCCACTCGATGTGTCCCTTCACGTCGATGTTTCTCTCTCTCTCTCCCTTCCTCTCTCTCCCTCCCACTCTATCTGTACAAAAAATGGAAAAATATCCTGGGATGAGGATAAAATATATATATAAAAGAATACTATAAACAACATTGTGTACAGAAACTTAACAACCAGGTGAAATGTATCTATTTGTTAAGAGACACACCACCAAACTCATACAAGGAGAAATAGATTACCTGAATACCCCATGTCTATTAAAGAAAGTGAATCAATAATTAATAACCTTCCAGAAAACCGAGTACAACACCCAGACTGTTTTACTTGTGAATTCTAACAATGAAGGAAAAAATAATAATACCAATTCTCCTCAGAAAAAGAAAATAGGACTGAATAGTTTCTAAGGCATTCTATGAAGCCATCATTAACCTAATACCTAAAAAAAAAAAGATAAAGACATTATAAGATAATAAAATATACAAACCACTATCTCTCACAAAGGTAAGTTAAAAAATCCTCAAAAAATTAGCAAATAAAATAAAATAATGCAGAAAAATATGATATACCACAACCATATGTGATTAATTTCAAGTATACAAGGCTGTTCTACAACCAAAAGTCATGTATATAAACCTCCATATTACTGAGCTAACAGAGAAAAGCCATCTATCCAAATTAATTCAGGCACTGAAAGCTCCTGATGAAATCCAAAACTTTTCTAGAAAAGACGGTGAAATTAAAGATCAGATTCTGGGTTCTATGTGCTTGAAGAACAACTAATTTGAAGAGCAAACCTTCCCATAACATAGTAGTTCCCATACTAGGAAGTACAGTTGCTACGCAGATATTTCTGGTCAATGATAACTATCAATTAGCTGGGTCAAACAGACCAGTTGGAAATGCCAATATGATAGTCCAGATATCTCAATAATCCCTTCCACTACAAATATCCAGAATTCTTAAATAAAATATAGCAAATATCATTTTAATTGCACATCTAATAGCATTTAGTATTTAGAATAAGTTCACATGAGAGTGAGTGATGTGACCCAAGAAAAAATAACAGAAGACCTGAGTTCTAGGCACTGGGTTGCTCTGGGGAACTGTCAATGCTGGTAGCTTCAGTGCCTTCATGTTCACTTGAATGTAAGTGACAAGGTCCTGGGGCCATATATATTGACAAATTGGAATGGAAAGTTAGAGCTATATACTAATACATATGCATACGTGCACACACACAACCAAAGCCAAGACCCTGGAGGACAGACTGAAAAAAAATTCTATTCACCGCACAGGAAATCAAGACAGAGTCTTTCTTTGCCTCTGCTCTCAACAGAAAAAATATATCTCCAGAAAATTAAAAAACACATTTTCTTGACCCATGTCACCCTCAGTTTTAGCTACAATCTTTCCATCATGGGGGAACCACATGCTTAAAATTTAAGAAAGACCTTTTTGTAGCAGGGTTCTGGTAAAAGCCCATAACAAACAAAACTGGAAGAAAGTTCACACAACACAGAACACAGGATACATTTTGTCTCTCCTTCTCTCTGTCTCTGATTCTGACTCTCTCTCTCTCTGTCTCTCTCTCTCAATCCAATGCAAGATGAGTTCACAGTCAAAAATTGTAAAATACATCCACCAATACTGAAAATTAGCATACAAAACAGCAGATCTATAACTTTAACAGTTTGAAGCTATAGAATAATATGAAAGGAAAAACACATTTACTTAAATTACTAAAGAAAAATCTGTAGAAAGACAATATGCAAATTTGAAAAAATATACAGAATAGAAGTTGAAATACTGAAAATAAATATTAAAAGGTAAAACAAGTGGCTATATGAAACTACAAACGTGACACATCTAAAACGGATTAAGTAAATTGAATGAGAAAAACACACATATGCAGCAAGGAAAAATGACACAGCACATATGAAAAAGGAGTTAAATATATATACATGATAAAATGAGAAGACTCAACATACACCCAACAGAGAGAATAAAGAAGGGAATAAGGCACTAAAATACAAGATATGGCTAAAGACTCTCCAGATATTATAAAAGACTTGAACCATCAACATCAAAAAGAACAAGTTTCAAAGGTGTTAAATGAAAACAATCCTACAATTAGATATATAGCATGATGAAACGCAAAACTAAAAAAAAAAAATCTTAAAAGCAATAAAACATATGTCTATCGACTAAAACAGAATTCACCACAGGAACAATATCTTCCATGTATTAAGATAAATTCATTTTGAACTGAAAGTTCCATAACTCTTTAAACCATTCTGTAATTTAAAATTGAGAGTAAATACAAGGCAATTCCCAACACAGATGGAATTTTTCAATCAAAATCTCTTGTTGAAAAATATTCATGGATTTACTTGGGGATAGAGGTAATCAAACCATGAGAAGTAAATGGAATTTAAAAAGCACTGAGTATAAAATAGTGTATGAATTTAAAAAGCACTGAGTATAAAATAGTGTATGCATGTAAAACAGGAGAAGGAGTATTGGGAGTTAATGATCAATTATGGTTACCATGTATCTGGAAGAGGGAGTTCCTGCCTGTTTCTAGTTCACTGAGATTTTACATCACGAGTAGGTTTTTAGTTTTGTTAAGCAGTTTCAATGCTACCATTTAAATAGAAATGTATTTAAAAACTTATATGACAACACTGATTTTTGAATGTTAAAATAAGCAGTTAATTCTAGGATAAACTATACTTAGTCAATATATCTTTTCACTTTTTAATATTATAAAGTACTCTGCTGCTTGGTTCAAGCTTTAATATATGCCACTTGATTTGCTAGTCTTTTGAAAGGATTTTGATCTGTAGCTTTTGTAGATTCTTGATTCATTGTAAGGCTTTTCCTGCTTTGGGTATCAGTATAATGCTGGCCTCAATGAGTGAGTTGAGAAATGTTGCTTCTCTAGCTCCATATTTTGAGGGATTCAGTTTAGAATTGGTGTTATTTCTTTCATATTTGCTTAGAATTATTCACCAGTGAAGCCATTTTGGCCTGCAGTTTTATTGTAGAAAGAGAAGACATCGGTGAGCTCGCCCTCTCCCCACGCACCCACGCACCCACGCACCGAGGAAAGGCCACGGGAGGACCCAGGAAGTTGACTGCTCTATGCAAGCCAGGCAAGGAGGCCGCACTAGGCACCAGCCCCGGCACCTTCGACTCAGCGGTCCCCCTCCAGGACCGAGAATGCAAATTTCTGTGGTTTAAACCACTCGGTTTATTATGTTGTGGCCCAAGCAGACTAATGGGCAGGGAAGTTTTATTTAAGAGGTGAGAATAGGGAAGAAAAACATTTGAAGAAACTAAGAAAAAACTAATTTTCCAGTAGCTGATTTTCAGTGTTAATGCACAGTCCTTGATCAATATTCTGTCAAATAATGAACACTTGGGAAAAACCAAAAACCCTGCAGGCACTGTATCTCTAACTCTCATCTTCCTGGTTAGAAGGGGCTCAAAATCTGTCTGCCCTTTGACTCAGCTGATACATACTTCGGTTGGCTTTTTTTTTAAAGTACTTAGGTTCTTGCAGAATTTTCAAATATTGTTTTCTGAAGTACAACCAGTTACTGTGTATCTTCAAATAACAATAAAAAACTTCTGCCCAGCCTGTGTGGCTCAGAGAGGTTTCGGTTTGATTCCTGGTCAGGGCACATGCCTGGGGTGTGGGCTTGATCCCCAGGAGGGGGCGTGCAGGAGACAGCCGGTCAATGTTTCTCTCTCACATCGATGTTTTTATCTCTCCCTTCCTCTCTCTCTAAAAATCAATAAAAACATATAATAATAATAATAATAAACAACTTCCTGCTCAATTGAAATCTCCAGGAGTCCAGCAGCTGTTTTGTCTTGAAAAACTGACCCATGGAAGGCATTCATCAGATATTCACTGAGTAAGTGAATAAATGGAGGAATAAATAAAAATCAAGTGTACAGT